CTCATGGTGGGAGAGAAGGGGCTAAAGCCGCCATAAATGGACACATAATGACCAGAGTAATCAGAATGGGAATCTAAAGCTGCATCTAATTTTCCTAAGATACTTTATTACACTCAAGTCCTGTGTGAGTGGCTGAGACTGGGCTTGGTCGCTGCAGGACAGAAGGAGCTGCAGCTACTCCGTCTCCTCCTCGTGGTTCTACTAAGAGAACCAACAGAAGATTGACCCCTGTGCTCTCACCTTAACTAGGCTTGGGTACACAGACAGTACAGTTCAGTTAATTAGAGCCATTGGTTTGTTTATTTTACCAGGGAGCGATACGTTATGGTCCTTCCTGTATCAGGGACTCACAGCTTATAGGTCCTTCCTCCTTTGATGACCATTCCATTCAGTATGTCTGCAACGTTTCAGTTCTTTATGCAATATGTGCACTATATTCAGACCAGCTCCTTTATGGTCAAATAACATAGATCAGTCTTTCTATATATATAGGCCTACTGTTCCACCATTACATAGTTAGTCTACAGGACAGTTCAGCCCTCCCTGGAGTTGATTTGAGGGATGTGTTTGCAGCAGTTCAGTAGAACTCTGTGCTCAATGTGTGATTGTATGAAACTCAAACCTGTACTCTACTCTGTGTGTAAAACCTCCAGCCTGCTGAGAGCAGCTGCAGGGACCTTCACACAGGCTGCTCCCATTTTAGAATATGTTTAATACATTAGAGGAAGTTATGGACCAACCAGTAGTGTACTAGGATGTCGTATGAATAGAGATGTCATGTTCATTTGAAGGTTGCCTGCCATTAATATCGTGCATCAGAAACATGTAGAGGGTAGAACATTGTGTTTCAGGCATCTCTGTAAAATGTTGTTCTGGCACATCATTTCAAAAAAGAAAATACTTTGGCAGTAATATTACATATTACACTTTATAGGGCCCACTATTTATATATAGGCTGTCGTGTTTTAAAGATCGGCCTCTCTCTATTAAAGCCTTCATCACACAGCTTTATGTGAATGTGTGGGTACATCTGGGCAACACACTGCAGAGACTGGTTCTAACACCCAACAGTGGTCCACCCCCAGTCCCAGCCCCAGCCCCAGCTTGGCAGCCTCTTTGATGGGAAAGCTGGGTGGGGACCAGCCTGGAAGACAGGCCCCTGTCCAGGACACCCAGAACTCTGCCAAAGCCAGAGTATGGTAATAAAGGAGCTCAGTGAACAAATACTGTAATAGACCACACCCTGACTCAACCTACCTCCTTGTCCCCGCACAACCAGGCGGGCCTACACACCCGCCGCAGAAACTATTCAATTATTCCCATTATGTGTACTCTACAAAGAATTCATCACACACTGTTTCAGGAAGTTTTTACATCACTAGGTGAATCATGCCAGTGACACCCATTCCTGCCCACAATGTCATATGTAAATAAACATGTAGGGAAGTTGCCTTTTTCACCTGCATTGCCGCAGTCAGTGTTGTCTTTATTAAAAAAGACGGCATTATTGATCTTCAACTGTATGCCTCTAGAGTCCCATCCTCTCTGTTATGTTGCAATTCTCCCTACATTTTCTCCTAAATTCCTTAAAACATGTTTTATTGTATTTAAAATAACAATCCCTCTGTAACAGACATAGGCATCCATTAACACACAGTAAACGTTTGGTTATGAGGCTGTTCTGTTATTTCTGCATTATGGTTTCCAGGCCTCAGATTTTCCTCTCTTGTAATTATTGGATAAACAAACTAGTGGGTTCACATCGCACATTAACAAAAGCAGAGCAGCCAAAGTTCTTAACTGCCACTTGAATTCTACCATTTGAACTGAATTTCACCCATTCATTTATACCCCTCCTCGGCCTTACCATTAGATGTCAGTCCACTTCTTGCCTCCGTATTTGTTTAGCTTCGTTGTCACTGAATATTGTATGCAATGGATGTAAAATACAATAGAGAAACACCCTTCACTATACCCTTGTCGTACAACACACGTACACACTTGCATGCTCGCACTCACACATTCTCTCTTTCTCTCGCTGTCTCTCTCTCACTCACTCAGGAACCAAAACACACATATAAATTCTCTTAAATACACACACACACACTGACATCAACACACACCGACACACCGACACAACGACACACACACGCACGCGTACACACACACACATTAACTGATCCATATAAAATCACATGGCATTGATTGTTTTGGGGAGAGCAGTCGGAGAGAGCTGTAAGTGCGAGAGTAGCCAGGTGTGCTCACCAGACATCTGTGTGAATGTTGGCCAATTAACATTTCAACTCAGACTCCCAAAACAGGCAATACTAACCATCACTGACTGGCGAGTGAGCTTGTAATATACTTTCTTGATTAATGTATTTCTATAATAAAGCTATATATCAATGTGCCCTGTATGGTAAAATCTGTTAAGCCTACATAACGTAAAGGACATTATTCTCAAAAGGTTACACTTATAGAAATAAAATAGTGTAAACTTTCTTGATATTTTTAGGTTGAAATTTCTCATACCCTTATGATTAGATTCAGCTGAACTGGCGGTCGGTGGTGCCATGAGAAAATTGGACACATATTGCCGCAGCTGAGAGGGGAAAACTGCCCATGAAACAGATATTTTATTATTACACTGTAGGGAAGGCTGCCAACTGCAATGAACTTTCTCTTGGCTAGAGAAGCTTATTTTGTTGTTATTCGAAAAGTAAACTTTTCTCGTCCACCCAGAGTAGGTGTTACTATCCCACTGGGCACACACTGGTTGAATCAACATTGTTTCCATGCCATTTCAATGAAATGACGTTGAACCAATATGAAATAAAGGTTGAATTGACATCTGTGCCCAGTGGGATGTTGGTTTAATGTTGATTGTTAACGGGTTAGTTAACATAGTGTGTACAGCAGCCATGGTGTGGGTCACATATGGTATGGTAGCACCAGCTGTTGAGATACTGTAACTAAGAGCCAACATGGAGGATACTAACGGACCAGTTTTACATTAGTCAGGGGCTTTAAGGTTGGTCCAAACCTTGCCTGTATCGTGAGAGTTCGGGGCAGGTCATCAACTGTCTGTGGCCGAGTAAATTCCTCTAGAAATCATTATCTCCCATAAAAGCCATTCAGCCCTGGTCTGAACAGTTATGTGAGCAGACCTCATCCATAATTCCATAAGAGAAAGCAGGGCCTCGCATGACCCACATTTCTGCAATTCCAATCATAGCTCTAGTCTGGATCTGCCACACTAGCACAGAATCTCTGGAATGCTCAAATGAAGGGACTGAACATGTATAGCCTGATTTTGATTCCATGACAATGCACCTTCAGGACCACCATCCACTACAGATACAGTAGATGACAAACCAGCTCAATATGAGACTTCAGTACAGCAATGCAAAATAGGATAGTGCTTTTAATGGTGTAATACAAAACACACAGATGTGAAGGGAAACATTTGTAAGGATGACAAAAGTTATACTGTAAGTCATTTTTTATATTTCTTACAGAACTGAAGACTACATCGAAGGGTCGGGATCTGTACAAGAAGGTGCGGGAAAACAGTAAGTCCTCAGTCAATAACCATACAGCATTGGACACCAGCAGGCTCTGGTACAGTAATAGTAGTAGTAGTAGAAGTAGTGTAGTAGTAGTAGTAGTAGTAGTAGTAGTAGTAGTAGTAGTAGTATGTTTGATGGATGAAGCTGGACCACTAGTGATATCACTGCCTATTCTCACTCATACACCTCATCTTTTACTGATCTTTTTATTCCTAGAAGTAAAAGTCCTGGTTTGTGATACTGAACATAACAGGGATATGAAACATTTGTAGCCAGTTGACTGTTGTTTCATGTGACATAATTTAAGTTGTGTTGAACAGTGGAAACTGAGTTGAGGTAAGAGGTTGGGATGAGAGTGTTAATGTCACAGCAGGTTTTAGGTCAACAGAAACATACTAATTGATACATGTCTTATGTAAATGAGGTATAGAATTGTTGTTCTTGTAAGATAAATACAAGTCATAAGAGCACAATATTTCAAAACAAAACTAGCTTTCATTGGCTGTTTCATTTCAACCTAGTATATGATATCATATCACAGATCAGTGTGTGTGTGTGTGTGTGTGTGTGCGCGTGCGTGTATGTGAACATATATATATTTTTTTAACAGCAATAATTAGTTTGCCAACTCTAATGAATTCTAAACTTCAATTAAGACCACAATCACAAACCCACACAGACACACACACATGCACACGAGCATGCGCACACACACACACACACACACACAGACAACACACACACACACACATGCACACACTGTTTGTGTGAACCATTTACTATTTTACTCTTGAACCAAAATACTCTCTGATGGGGTAAAAATATGTTTCTATCTGATCTTGATGGGGGAAACAGATCTAGATATGTTGGGGACAATTGAAGTGTAAGGCACATGGCAGTCTTAGCATATCTTAGCCTGTGTTTAATCTCAGATTTCCCATCATTTTACAATCCTTCTCAATGTTTCCTAACAGTGACTCCTGTACAACAACATAAATATTGTGCTGGAAAAAATGAATTTCCAAAATTAAGCAGTTTTTTTTTTCTTTTCCCCAGTTTCATTCTGTAAACATTGAAAAATGCTAATCAAGTCTCTTCAGTTCTCAACAAAACAACAACAACATAATAACAACAACTGTTCCTTCTGCAAGGCTTGGCAGCCTCACTCTGCAAATATTCTCAAATCGGCTCAGAGTAAAAGTAAGAGTATTTTTCCTTTACCTTAATTTTACTAGTCCATTCAATGTCTCTGTCAAAGGTCTGTGTTTTAGTTCCTAATGGACAAAGTCGGGGGGGGGGGGGGGGGGGGGGGGGGGTCAGGTGAGGGTGTTTAAAGGGTCGGGGGCATCAGTTGAAGCTGAAGGCTGGTGAGGGTGTTTAAAGGGTCGGGGGCATCAGATGAAGCTGAAGGGGTCAGTCTGTAAGGGGGCATCAGAACAGGCTGGTCAGGGTGGTCTGCGACGGGCTCCTGCACTCGTGGACGTCCATGCTGCCAGAGACAGAGGTTAACACAGAGGTGGGGTTGGTCAGGTCTGCCAGGGCGGTGGGGGTGCTGGAGGGGCTCATGGAGGAGTTGGAGATATCGGAGGCGGGTCCGGAGGGTGTGCCCCCCTGCAGGGTGGAGCCGTCTGAGGTCTTGTCCACGCCCGTGTTTTCCTGTCTCAGCAGGTTCCGCCGGAATTTGGCCCGAGCGTTCTGGAACCAGACCTGTGTACCACAGCAATGCAACATCATAGCAAATGTTAGTGATGGAACTGTAGGGAAAGACACGGTTTCAACTGGAATAACAGGCATGAAAAACAGAACGCATCAAAGCAAAATGACTGCTTTGTTTTCTGGGAGCGTTAATTAAAGCGGAGTGATTTTTACATAATTTTTGTTCAGAAACCTTTTTGTCTCATTTTTTTCTTCAGTCGCCTAGATAATTTGCTGTCGTCTTTGTGGAAATCAAGCGCTCTCTGTTGTGATCCCCGCTCCCAATAATAAGCAGTAGATCTGTTTTTATTACTCCCACTCCTCACATTTCCTATCTGGAAATTGAAATAGAAAATGCTCCCTTGTTACTCGTTTGATTTCAAAATCCCATTATTCAATCATATTAGCTACCATCATAATACACTACAACATTTTCACTTTTTCTTTTGTGTGTAGTTTTTCTCATTTTGTTGAATATCAGGAACAATCCAGTGTAGGTGTGTGTGTCTGACCTGTAGGACACGCTTGGTGAGGCCAGTCTTCTGGGCCAGCTGCTTCAGGTCCTTGGCATCTGGGTTGTGGTTAATGGCAAAGTAGGACTTCATGGTCCTCAGCTGGTGGTGTTTGAAGGAGGTCCGCATGCGCTTGGTCTTCTGACTGGAGCTGTAAGAGTCCCTGTCCATAGAGTCACCGTCATTCTCATTACAGCTGAGTGCTGGAGGACACCACACACACACGCACATACAAATAAGATGTTGGTTAGACCACATGAACATGGTGTATCATTCAAGGACAAGTGAAGTTAAACATGACCATGTAATGTATTTTGCTGCATGATGTATTGGATGTATTAATTAAAATCAGCTAAATGCTGGCTTGTATGCACCCCAGCTGTCTTTTAATGCAACCTTTTAAGATTGGTTTAGTAATTAAATGTTTGGTAGAGAGCGTGGCAAGGAATACACACATCAGGGTAGAGGAATACAAACATGAAAAGCATAGGTATAATTAAACAGTGATTGTAAATTCAACCACAGCCTGACTATTAAACAGTAAAGTCTCTAATAAGGCTCTAACACACCACACAGTACCATAATCAAAATAGGATGTTATATTTATAACATATTTGATTTATTTGTGATATTTAACGAATTGCACATTTTTAGGCTTATACCCAAAAAGTGTTGTTAAATTCACAAAGTGTTGTTAAATTCACATACATTAAGCAGCATATTTCTAAACAAGTGATGCAAAATTATTGTTCCCTTTGTCAAGCACTCACGCTATATCATGTCATAGGCTACTGATTGTGTAAGACCTTGACCAATTAAAATATGTGAATAACTTTCTGGCTAGGGTTGTCAGGATTGTCTTTACATTTAGAGGTCTTCCGTTGTTAAATATGCATTGGCAGTTTGCAAAATAGAAATGCCAGTCTTCCCTGAAAACAGATGAATTGCGCTTAAGTAATAAGCACGTAATTAGGGGTATTTTTTATAGTCTTAACTTTAATAGTATAATAATAATTATTATTATTATTATTATTATTATTATTATAACTGTTTTGTTTGGTTGTTGCCTTATTAATTGTAATTATGCTATAGCCTGCGCTTGATAATCTACTCGTGGCTGCAAAAACATGACATATTTCCCTGACAGTATTTTCTTGGCAAATGCTTAAGTGTTGCTATCTTTTCATAACAGTTCAAACATATTCAATGCTGCATATGATAAATATTCGTCATTCAAATTCTTCAGAATAACACTTCAGAGTTCTGACAAGTGACCACAAACACCAGGCATACAGAAACAATATTTATCTTTCGCAATTTTTCAAATGCCATTGATAGGCTGATGTGAACTTTTCTAATAACATGGGAATAATTTTTGTTTTTGTTTCTGCAGGACCACAACACATTCAGAAACGTATGAGATCTTTATTCAAACACAACGTCGATTTCGTCCTTAAAAGATTGTTAGGTGACTTCAGATGTTAACTTTAGTCAATATTTGAATGCGTTGTTTATTAATACAGTAGGTTTATACTTTATGTCAGTCAGTGGCCCAATGGGTAGACAGTAGAGGGCAGTAACGGCCCGAAACACGCCCCATCCCCTTCCCACGAAGGTGTTGTGAGAAATGTTACTTTGGTTTACTGGATGAAGTATTGTAGCTCAAACAGATGACGAACCATGTGGAAAATCTTGATATGACCAAGTGATGCGTAGGCCTAAATTGAAAAGTTGTTTTAGGCTATATAGCCTATTTGAATAGACTAAAGTTAAATATCAGGTTCTTTCACTTTGTCCTTTATAAATCCCTTATTTTACAATCGACTTATTTTATGAACGGTGGAATGCACATGAAAACAGTTTAACACAACAACTGACGGTCATATTAAATTCTCAAGACCCAAACTTCGATCCGACAATTAGGCTTAGCCTATTGAAGGGCCTTCTTGGTGATATAAATTATGTTGCTGTTGCAACAACTGCTCTTCGTCCACTATCACAACTGGATAACTCGTCAAGTCTCGTTGATATCTTGTAGTGCACACACATTCTGGCCCGGTCCCAGAACAACCGGTCCCCGAGTGCGCAAACTCGAGCAGGGGAACTTTAGATGTCTGTAGGGCCTGACAAGTGGAAAATGGCTAAGGCGAAAGCCGGAATTTCAAAACAATTTTTTAAAGAGGACACGATAAGAAAATTATAGATACAACTTTCTCCTGCCACACACAGTTGAATTGTAGTGGGAGGGATTTTGGATACATAACCTGCATCAATTTAGAAAACAACCTCTTTATAATTTATTGGAAGAAATTATGTGAAAATGTTTTGAATATTAAGTCTAAATTAACACGGGCTTTAGTTTCTCCAGAGCACAAATAAGCTAATGCAATATTACACCCCCTAGGCTATATAGGCTTTTATGATATCAAAAAAAGAGGAACGTCCATGTGGTAAAAAGCATATTTGTATGGTAAAATCAAAGAATAGGCTACATGTATTTTTGCTACGTGCTACGCTTAAATCAATGAACTGAAAGAAGTTGTTGAAATATTCGTTGGAAAATATTGGTCGCAAAAGCAATATAGGCTATCATAACTATCATATTTTTCGTGAGATTAAATTATGGAACCAAGAGGGCAAAACGTTTGGCACCTCTCTATTTGTTATGGTTGAGATGTTTAAAAACATTTGCCTAATGCAGGCAACCTCTGTAGGCCTATACAAATTGTATTACATCGAATATAGCTAATAGATTATTGAGAACAAGTAGGCTAGGCTACTGTTTCAATTATCATCGCATGAAGACTCACAGTCCCACCCCTTCGTTGCATATAATTGTTGTCCTGCGTTGTCAAAAGCAGGCCTTGGGAATAATTATAAATTGCACAGTATAGAAACTTTGTGAGGAGAGTGCTCATTGAGTCAATGTGGCAATATTCTGAACAGGCTTATTTTAAATGGAAATGTTATTACTGTAGTCTTACCGGCATTGTAGGCTGCTAAGTCTGCTCCTGGCCCGAGACTTTTCCTTTTCCTGGGCCGCCCTTTATGCACACTCCCCACGCCGTTGAAATAGGATAGTCCCAATGCGTTGGCAGGTCCCAGTCCTTTGTGAGAGTCTACATCCGCATGATTGAAATGTGTCTGATATTCCCCCTGTATGAGATTTTCAAAGTGCAGCCGACAGTACACCAGACTGTCTTTCATGCCAAAGTGGTCCCCAGTCGTTAGCATCTTGTTGCAGGATGTGCAGGTGAAACAGTTCAAGTGGTACACCAAGTCCCTGGCCCGCATCACCATCTCTGAGGCCGAGATCCCGAGGTGGCATCGGGCACATCTCTGGACCGAAAACCTTCTGTGGAGAGGACAGAACCTGTATGGTCAGTGCACCGACACATTTTGATCGAATGTAAATTAAGCCTATCCATTGTCAATTAGTAGCACATACAGTGGCAGTTACATTATGTGTGCACCAAAGCCTGCTTTGAAACAGAACAATGTAGCCTACAGTACTTTGAAACTCTCACACAGACCATATGTAATGCATTTTGTGCAAGGGCACTTCAACGTTTTGTCAAAGCTCAATATGACCTCGCTATAGGCCACATGAAAGCGTATTATATGTGGTTGTAATACCAAAATTAATAATTCGTGATGTGTGCATGGGATGACTCTTTTCAGGAAAAATCTGACAATAAATGTGTTTATTCTTCATAACCCAACACCTTTATTATTGAGGAATGGTTTAGCTCAGGTGTGCAGCACCATTTTGGGGGTTGATGGAGTTACCTGTAATAATCTTCCTTGCAGTAGATACTTCCGTCTTTACTGAAGCATGTGAGCTCGGACTCCAGGTTGAGTTTACACTCGCAGCACTTGAGACAGCGCATGTGCCACTGTTTGTCCACTGCGAGCAAGTAGTAGCGGTCAGCGATCTTCCCGCCGCAGCCCGCGCACAAAGACACCCTGTCGCTGTTCATGCACGACATGTTCTAAAAGACAACCAAACAAACACAAACTTGAAACACAGATCAACCACGTCATCAAACACCCATATCGAAATAATGTATCATTTCCGCCCCAAGATATGCTGCCTTTAGGATATGCTTCATTTAGCCTATCAGACATTCTTTTACATTTTATTTTTTGCATGAACATATTGTCTTTTATTATATCTGACTGAAAACATTACACCGAATAATACAGGCTTATGTAGACTAGAAATTAACATAATTTTGAAGTTCACATCAATTAAAATATGCCAGGTTATAGGTCTATAGCTAAATGTATCCTATAGGCCTTACCATATCCTGTAATAAACATTTTGGGCATTTAAAGCGAATCATTCATAAACAACAACAAACAACAAAGCACATGCTATGTAGCATTCGAAATAAAAGGGCTTTACTCACACCAAGATTTACTATTACATAAATCATAATCGGATCAAAACACACTTACAAACCAACACACACACACATTTTATTTTGTTAAAACTTTCACCTCACCTAATGTAATTTTGCTTAAAACTTTGTTTTGGCTAAAACTGCCTAACAAGACAAAACAATGCGATATAATAATAATAATAATAATAATAATAATAATAATAATAATAATAATAATAATAATACATAAATTATAGCATATAGTCGAAGAGATCAAAGATAAAACCACTTCCACCCACCCATAGGCTAAAAAGTGAAAGCCAATGTTATAATTAATTGATCATTTAACTTGTTACATTTTATCAATCGTTTTAGTCTAAAGCTATTTCCTAAAAAGTGTATATGAATTGTACCCTTATTTTTTAAGGGTATATACCTCATTTTTGCACAAAGAATTGATGAATGTGCAATGTTGTTTGTACAAGTTCAAAAGTAGAAAATTATGAAATATCCATTCCATTATGATGTCGTTTAAATTCACAACATATCTAACGCCAAAGCAACGCATGCTTAAAAACACTTGATTGTGCATAAAAAAAACCGTGATATTTGCTATTAACAGATTAGCATATGAATATGAATTCATTAGCCTATTAGTAGGCTACATTATTAGATTACTCTAAATTGTTTTGTGATAGCGATTCAAAATAATTCCATAAGAATAAATAGGCTGCATTGTTTAAGATAAAAATAATAATAAACTCAAAAAGCAAGTTCTTTCTTAGTCCAACAAGTTTTAACAGCCTATCCCACGTCAAGTATTTTTAATATCCCAAGTATGATGTTATAGTTCACTACTCTTACTGCATGTTTGCATGAACGTGTTGTTGCTCATTATGATATTTGTACACAACTGCTCTCAATTTGCGATTGCAATCGCCCTAAGCGTGGTTGTTTAGTTGCCTACCGTTTCAGATTCTTCCATATCTATGGCCGAACTGATAGCTGCGGATTCACTCTTTCCTCTCCGGTCCATTTCTTCCACAACAATGTGCATTTCGCCTCCAGGGAGGCCGTGGAAAAGCATCGTTGCCGGAGACGGGATGATGTTATACGTGTTTTCCTCAAATCTGAAACCCAAGATTTCCATAAAACGCAAATCTATAGCCCGTGCATTGGCAGTCAGATTATTTCCCTTCTTGGTGTGACAAGGAAGAATTCCAGATCAGAAAAAAATATGAGGCAAAAATGGACACGTGTTCTCCACGCTACGCATCATCTGCCAATGGAAATCATTATCCGAATCTCTGCATCTCTCTCTCATAACATATAATTCATTAATTAAAGTGACGGAATCCGTCGATTTACTAATGCTCATTAATTCTATGCAGCATATAAAGATATTTTTATATTATCATGCGAGAAGAAATGCCATTTGCAAAATAATTCCTAAGGAATGAAAAACATACCAACTATCGAAGCCCTGCATGGGTCTGCTACTGGTCCCTCCTATTTCTTCAGAGGTATTTGGATTAAAACATTTAGCAGGGCATTAGTAAACGAATGAATTAGTCCTTTGCCGACCAATACTAACTCGATCAATGAACACTGACACTACTTCTATTGGAAATCATCAACTGTACCAAAATGATTTCCACACGAATCGAAGGAAGAGAACAAATCAAGAACACAACAGCGTCTGTGAGAATGTAGGCGCGTGCATCTCCATGTAGTTGCCTCCTTGTCAGTTTGTCATTGAACTCAAATGCAGTGTCCAAGTTGGTGTTAGAGCAGTTTAGATTATATCAAAATACATACACATGTAGCCTATGCTTTTCCAGAAAAACTAAAGCTATAACTAGTTGGCAAATAAATATGTTTGCATTTAGATCCCGTTGGAGGTCTGAGAGAAGCTGTTTTCCTTCAGCAGTTTTTTCGTTTTGCCAAGAAAGCTACATGTGAGTAATCGAGGAGGAGGAATTTACTTTACATTCAGTAACAAGGCAAGACTCGAGCAGGCAGCCCTATCACTGTCCCACGGTCTCTGGCCTTGCGATACACTCCGCGCCTTTTCTACAGGGACCCATACGTCACGTCCCACGATTTATGTTCATTGGTTGTTCAACATCGTCGAATTCTTATTTTACTGCTGCGGAAGAAGTATGCAGACTAGTAGCCAATTCTTTCTTTGGTTGCCCATGACATACTGTTTAGACGCATAATTTCTGTGTTGCATTTAACAAAATATTTGAATACCTTTAGTGCTTATCTAGTCTAAAACAACATGACAAGAAGAAGAAGAAGAAGAAGAAGAAGAAGAAGAAGAAGAAGAAGAAGAACACATTGATTTGATAGCGGTGCAAAGATTTTAGTGCACATTATGGTGATCTGTTGGACCATTGTCACTGACATTTCATGCATCTTTCTTTCTTTTTCTTTCTTTCTTTCTTTCTTTCTTTCTTTCTTTCTTTCTTTCTTTCTTTTCTTTCTTTCTTTCTTTCTTTTTTCGCACTCTCTCTCTCTCTCTCTCTCTCTCTCTCTCTCTCTCTCTATATATATATATATATATATATATATATCACTCTCTCTCTCTCTCTCTCTCTCTCTCTCTCTCTCTCTCTCTCTCTCTCTCTCTCTCTTTCTTTCTTTCTTTCTGATCCACCCTGACCCGTCTATTAGATCGCTATATCTGTCAGTACAGGCCTTACTGTAATTGCCTTTTTTTTTCTTCAGGCACATGGTTCTATGTTCGACAAACAGTTGTTATTTAACATCAAATGTAACCAATCACAGCCATATAGTATCTACTGCATCACCTTCAAATGCTTGGGATCAAGGACAGTGCACAATGAATCATTATGGACATCAAATTCTATTTTGTAGTGTAAGAAGACATTCATTGAGAAATTCCAGAGATAATAGTCAATATGCACTGTGAACCCTGATAAGTTCAGGCTGCTCAAACATTTTGAGGAAACAGATTACCTAAAAAAATATAGTTAAGAAACATAAATAGCTGAAGTGAGCAGTACTACCTTCACATGAGTAATACAAATGCATTTTTTTTTTGTAGAGTATACTGAAATGTAACACCCCCACTAAGCCACGCCTCCAATAATTTCCCAGTATGCCTCTTCGATTGAATTGTAGACTTACCACTCTCGCAGTCGGCATTCCAATTAATTCCAAAGGTGTTCGATGGGGTTGAGGTCAGGGCTCTGTGCAGGCCAGTCAAGTTCTTCCACACGAATCTCGACAAACCATTTCTTTATGGACCTCGCTTTTGTGCATGGGGGCATTGTCATGCTAAAACAGGAAAGGACCTTCCCCAAACTGTTGCCACAAAGTTGGAAGCACAGAATCATCTAAAATGTAATTGTATGCTGTAGCGTTAAGATTTCCCTTCACTGGAACTAAGTAGCCAAACCATGAAAAACAGCCTTAGACCATTATTCCTCCTTCACCAAACTTTACAGTTGGCACTACGCATTGGGGCAGGTAGCATTTTCCTGGCATCCGCCAAACCCAGATTCGTCCGTCGGACTGCCAGATGGTGAAGCATGATTCATCTCTCCAGAGAACATGTTTCCACTGCTCCAGAGTCCAATGGCGGCGAGCTTTACACCGCTCCAGCCTACTCTTGGCATTGCGCATGGTGATCTTAGACTTGTGTGCGACTGCTCGGCCATGGAAGCTCCCGACGAACAGTTATTGTGCTGACGTTGCTTCGAGAGGCGCTACGCGCTTCAGCACTCGCCGGTCCCTGTCTGTGAGCTTGTGTGGCCTACCACTTGTTGTTGCTCCTAGATGTTTCCACTTCACAATAACAGCATTTACAGTTGACCGCAGCTCTAGCAAGGCAGAAATTTGACAAACTGACTTGTTGGAAAGGTGGCATCCTATGACGGTGCCACGTTAAAAGTCACTGAGCTCTTCAGTAAGGCCATTCTACTGCCAATGTTTGTCTATGGAGATTGCATGGCTGTGTGCTCAATTTTATACACCTGTCAGCAACGGAATCCACTAATTTGAAGGGGTGTCCACATACTTTTGTATATATTTTCTATCATAAGGCCTTATACAGTGGCCTGAAACTCATAGTTTACAGGCCACATCAGGCCTGCAAGTAGGGTTGCAAAATTCCACAAACTTTCCAGTAATCTTCCAATGAGGATTTCTGGAAATGTTGCAACCTTAACTGTAAATCACATTATGCTGGCTTGCAAAGGGATGTGTTATTCTTATTGGAATCTAGCCAGCCTTAGGCTATCCAACAGTTAAAATTTGTATTCACCCGCAACCTGCATTCATAATGACTGCCAGGGTTAAGAACAGTGGGAGGAGCCATTTAAACTGGATCAACCATTTCAGTAAGGGGTGCAACATTTCAATGATTGGATTAGTTTAGAAATGTTTTATTTATCTTTTTGTAGCATAACATTTATCAATCAATTACTCAATGTACTTGCAGAAATACAGATATGAAAAACAATTCCAGAAAATCGACCTGCAGTAGAGCATGTTGTGAAAAAAGTTAATTTGTTATCATATCTTTAAAAAATGTAGTTGGTGTGACTTCTCATTTAGTTTAGAGTCAGTACCACATAAACATTTGAAGTAATAATGACTTTTCATTGACTTTGAGTACAATTTACTAGAATTATTTGAGTTAAAAATGCCTTGGGGTTTACAGTGTGCCATTTGGAATGAAGGTTCCATCATAACTGGTGTTGTTGTATATATTTCAATGTTGTTTTCGATTTGTTTAATCTGGAGCTAAACTACATTTCGACAAATAGGCCTACAAGAGATTATCTTTAATTTTCTTTAAAAGTCCACTCCAGATAATAATCTCTCAGGGGTTTACTGGCCCATAGTAAAAGAAAAGAAAATGTAATGTACATTTTTCACACTGTTGTCCTTCTTTAGCATTAGAATAACAAACCGATATTTATCCAAATTGCATTGGTATTTACAAAAAAAGAAAAAAAATATTATGTTATTAGAACTACCTGCAACAAATTCCTATCAGAAATTAAGGCCCATGTTTAATCCATACACAAATCAAAGCAACAGCAAATTCTCAATAGGTCTCCAACATAGAGGCATTTTTCTTCAGTCATAAACTCATATTTGCCTGTCCGTGTCAACGGCATGCATCCCACAATTCGTGATGTAAAGTTAACAGAATAGGCATGCACCTCGTGCAGCGCCAATCATTTTAGGTTAAATGAAGAATTGAAGATGTGTCTGTTTTAATGACACACACTTCAATATGAATGATTTCAATAGGCTTCCCATCTAATTTCCTCTGGTTTCAAACCAGTGTTGCGTGGTGGGTGACGCTGCTGTCCATGGCCATATGGTGCTTTCAAGACAACCGGGAACTCGGAAAGAAACTTGGTCAAATCATGACGTCAGTGATCTTCAGGTCGGATAGTCGGAGTTCTAGAAAGATGCCCGAGTTTCCGACTTGGACTAAGCCCCTACTCTGGATCCGCTCTTCTAATTAGCTCCGTGATCTTAATTGGGAGGGGAGTTTGGACTTCATCATCAGAGGAGGACTTACCATGTTCAGGAAAATAATGGGCGACAGAAAATGCCTCAGATATGTGTGTGAGAAAATGACATCCATAGAATGTTGTTTCTCAAAAGGACACTGTCAGGACCAGTCACACTGTTCCCCATTAAAACCATCACATTTTATAGAATATACTATTCTTCATCGATGGCAAAGGAAACGAGAAGAAATGGAATAGCAGGGCACCAACATTTTTGCACTTATTTGTTCGATTTCTGTCTCAGATTTCAACAATGGAAAATTCCCACCTATAATAGTGTATATGAAGAGAGTCCAAAATCCAATTAGGACAATCAAAACGTAATGTTTCTATCACTCCTGACTAACCATAAAAGTCTATATTTTTAGTTTTCCAAGCTTTATCTTTCAACTTTCAACAGTAGCCTGCTAAAGGACTGCAAAACAACAATATGATAATAATCATGATTATTATCATGCAGGCCTAATCAATCATAATATTATAGTAATACAAATATAATTAACCATATGCTAATTAATTATGATAAAAATGATCACTTCACTATTTCACAATCACCCTATCATTTTGCCTCATTTTTATGTTCCTTTCC